TTCTACTGATGTGTCTTCTGTTCCCAGATCCGATCGAACTCGTTCAGAACATCCGTTTAGTCTTCTTACAGCTTCAGTATAGTAGCCAGCGATGAACTTAGGGTCATTATTTGTCAACCAAGCTTGAAGCCAAATAACATACTTTGAAAAGCCATCAATGCATCCGTGTATGCAGATACCGTAGGGTTTCAGTTTATCGTAACCATCCATGTGCCATACAGAATTTGGTCCTGACGAGATATAGGTTCGACGTACTAATGTACGCTTTTTGCGACAGTTGACTCCATCAGGATCTATGATATGAAGTAAACATCGAACTGTCTCTTTGTCTACAACATAGCCCTTTTCCTGACACATACGATGCATCCAACGGTATCCGTGTTGCCGACCAGAAGAGTCACACTCGTTCAAAATATACAAAGCAACTTGCAGAATGTCTGTGCATTGTTTTCTCCGAAACAACTTACACTTGGATAGACATCGTTTTAAAGTTCTGTTGCTTATAATCATCTTGTGGTCCTGGGCGAGGAAACACAGTATTTCGTTGTTCGTCAATCCAAGGGAGAAGTATGTGCTGACGAGTGTAACACGATCCACTTCGTCACCACAACCACCTGCCGTCACTGGTGTAATGAACTGACAGAACATGTACACAATATATATGCATTCTGAGGAAGCATAATATGTTGAAATTTCAAGTTAGTATCTTGAAATATCAAGATACTTTTCTTGAAATTTCAAGATACTTTTCTTGAAATTTCAACTTAATATTTATCTTGAAATTTCAACTTAGCATCTTGAAATTTCAACTTAGCATCTTGCAATTTCAACTTAGTATCGTGAAATTTCAAGAAAAAAATAAAAAAACGCATGGCCCTAAAAGGTTTCCGTATAAAACACATTCTCTTGAAATTTCAACTTACTTAGCTTGAAATTTCAACTATTCATCTTGAAATTTCAACTTAGCATCTTGAAATTTCAACTTAGTATCTTGAAATTTCAAGAAAAAATTAAAGAAAACGTATGGCCCTAAAAGGCTTCCGTAGGTATTGTCTCTGCTTTGCTCCATTGTCATCGGCCACAGTTCGTGTACAGAGAATATGGAATTGCGCATAATGAACGAAGAACATTTCATTTCAGTACTAATTTTCTTGAATTTTCATGATACTAAGTTGAATTTTCATGATACTAAGTTGAATTTTCATGATACTAAGTTGAATTTTCAAGATAATAAGTTGAATTTTCAAGAAAGGATGTTGAATTTTCAAGATAGGATGTTGAATTATCAAAATAGCAAGTTGAATGTTTAAGAAAGTAAGTTAAATGTTCACGATACTAAGTTGAATTTTCAAGATACTAAGTTGAATTTTCAAGATGCTACGTTGAATTTTTAAGATAGTAAGTTGAATTTTCAAGATAGCAAGTTGAAGTTTCAACATAAAAGATACTGAATAATAGCGTAGCGTGGCCCTAATAGGCTTCCGTACCTAATAGGCTTCCGTGGTACTTTTATCACTACTCTTTGCAATATTTTATTTGATAAAGGTACATTCCCAGCACAGTGGTATGGAGAGGTGAAGTAAATGCGGTCTCTAATTATAGAGGTGTTTTCAGTAAGTTATATATATCAATCATTAAGAAGAGACTCCAATTTTGGTGTGATGCTTATGATAATATTTCAGAGTCGCAGGCAGGTTTCAGAGTTGGTTATTCCACCATTGACAATATTTTCATCTTGCATACTATTGCCCAATGGATTCTATCCAAGAAAGGCGGCAAGGTATATATGCTTTTTTGTTGACTTCTCAAAAGCTTTCGATCTGGTTAATAGGTCAAAATCATGGTCGATATTGAATAGAAAGGGCGTGTCTCCTAAAAATTATAAGGTCCATATATGACTGTGTCAAGTCCTGTGTTAAATCTAATAACTCTTTTTCGGAAACGTTTCAGTGTAGCATTGGGGTACGACAAGGTTGTGTCCTAAGTCCCCTTTAATTTTCCATATTCATAAATGAGTTAGTAGATAATACTGAATCTGTTTGTTATCCTGGGATTCAGCTGCATCCTGTGTTGACGCAATTGTTCCTCCTTTTGTTTGCCGACGATGTTATTCTTCTCTCTGATACTATATATATTGTCTACAAAAGCGCAACAATGTTCTAGAACAGCATTGTATTGATTATAATCTCACTGTTAGACAAATCTCAATTGGGAACCGATGACATGTGTCGACCAAGCCAGCGAGCCTGACCACCCGATCCCGTTAGTCGCCTCTTACGACAAGCATGGGTTACTGAAGGTTCATTCTCACCCGGACCTTCACGGGTCTTGTTGGACAGTTAGATTTATTACACAATTTATGTTAATATTTACATTTTGACAAATCCCAAACTGACACTTACGCGTGGGAAGTGACTGATCCGGAGCAGCGAACAGAAGGCAATCTGTTTCCCTTTTCATGCCAGTATCTTCATCCACGCTGAGGACACCCACTTCTGTATTGCCTAACAGTACAGATCCTTCGTCAGAATAAACATTGACCCTGAGATTATGGCCAACATCCTTAGTTTGTGTACACAAGTTGTACAATGCTTTATAAAAGAATCACCAGACAAATAAATTCTAATAAACACTCTAATAGAATATTATCATGATAATAAGTGAATATAAACGGGAAGAGTGCGGACGGGAACATGATTCTTCTTGTGAGGGTATGAATACCCTGAATGTATTGTTTCGTCCAATCTGCAAAGCCAAAAGAATAACAAAGTGTTCTTGTGAATTATAATGTCACATTAGCTAACTTTTAGTTGTTATGGGTCACAAAAGTTGAAAGCGCTGAGTGTATTTTCTCCTGTTAAGAGTAAGTTCAAGAGTTACCTCCTTTTTGTTTATTGCTTTCGGTTTCTTCGGATGGATGCTGGAAGCTATCAGAAGATGGCGGTGTAGCATTTGCTAGATTTCTCTAGAAATATATAATAGGCATATAAGGGATGGTTGCTGAGATGGATGAGGAGACGATTTTGGATATTGTTATGAAAGTGGTTTTTTTTGTAATTTGTAATATCACATTGATAGTTATTATGGGTCACAATGTTTAAAGTTTTGAGTGTGGGTTTTGGCTCGCATCTCGCATTATATATGTTCAATGGCAATAGTATTTTTTAGCGGTACACCTTTTTGATAGCGCTTCAGAGTTGCCTCCCTTGGTTGTCTTTATTTTGTTTTGACTTCACGTCTTGTGTTTACGATGGCTTTCGTGAATGTTCTGAGTTAATATTTTATATTTGTGACCCAATATTTTATATTTGTGACCCACTATTTTAGATTGTGACTGAATTGCATTGTACTAGAAATTTGTATTGTCATTCATTGTAGCTTGCTCATTGTTTGTTCAATATATTATTGAATATTTTAGACTTGTCTGTGTTCTATTTTGCTGGTTCAAAGGGGACTCTTAAACCTTTTTTTCACGGCAAATTATTAACCGTAACAACATACGCTCATCTGCCTGCTAGCAGACCTACCACTCAAGAGGCTTCATCTACACTGAACTTTCAACAGCTGTCAACAAACTTCATTCAGTATATCTACAAGGATCAAGACTGTTGATCACTGGATTGTCTGGTCCAGTCCATCCCCATAAAGCTGGAACTGTCGAGTCCGAAGAACTTGCTACAAGGACTTCTAAACTATTTTTCCAGTGTGGAATCTCCGTTGCCAATACGTTCAAGGTCATCCATGTAAAGGAGGTGAGTTAGAGGTGTTGTGGATCTGCGCTGAGGAGGTCCAGGATGATAACGTTCCCCTTTGTGTCTTGCAGCTCTAAAAGTTGATGTCTGTATTGGTTTTGTTTTCTTCAGGTGGTTCAGTTCGCTGTTTAGGACATCAGTATCGTTTTAGTGAGTGAGTGAGTTGGATTTTACGCCGCTTTTAGCAATATTCCAGCAATATCACGACGGGAGTATCGCTTTAGCAAGTAGGATGAGGATTGCGATGATGGCTTGTTTTATCAGGGTGTGGTGGCAGGAGTGGATGTTCTGGCCTGTGTATGTAGGTGAACGTATGTTCTTAACCTATTTTCTGTTGAATGGAGGGACATAACTAGGAAGGGAAGGCGTTGGCTTGTTTCTGTCTCTGTGGTGAACTCGATTTTCTGGTGTTGGGCGCTGAAGTGTTTGTGGGGGTCAGTGATGTCGTTCTTGGAGTGGGGGTGGGGTTGTTGGACTGTTGTGGTGGTGTGTCATCTATGTTTCGATAATAACTGAGGGGTTGGAACAGTGCTGTGGAGAAGGCTGATTCTTCGAAATACGCGTGAAGGTTTCAGTGATGAGTAGCGAGAGAAGGGAGAAGGTATTTGCATGTACAATACGTCGTGGATAGTGAAGTATGAGGTGTCAAAGCGGCTGGAGAAGAGGTTGATGATGTTGTCGATGGTGAGGGCGGTGTTTAGGTCGTACATTCTAGTATTGGAGCTTGTTTCGGGGGGACATCAGGGAAAGGTTGTTGGTGAAGAGGTTTGTGATGTCATAGCTGCCCATGGTGCATGTGAGCGTAGCTTCTTGTTCTGTATATATAGGTTTCCCAAACAATTCCCCGGAAGATTCCCGGAAATAAGGGACCAGACGAACACGGCTGCACTGTATGGTGTATTCTTGAATGGAGGATGTCTGGAGGCTTGAGTGAGTGAGCAATATCACCGCGGGGGACATCAGAAATGGGCTACACACACATTGCTCCTATGTTTTGAATTGAACCCGGGTCTTCGGCGTGACGAGCAAACGCTTTAACTTATGCAACGCCACCGCCCCTCTTAAGGCATGAGGTCTGGAAGATACCCCTGTATATACACCAAGTTTGCAGCGGGACACTCTCCTGCGGTGCATAAATATGAGACCGAGTTTGATGTACAAATGTAATGCATGAAGTATGTTTTCCATTTATTTATCAAACCAAGATAACATTTGACCATCGACTGATGAGAAACAACACATGCTTATCCTGATAAGAAGGGATTTATTAGAATCCCTGAAGTTTAAAGTGAAGGCTATGGGTATAACAAAGTGAACAGTCGGGATATGTCTCACAACCAATGATCATATCGACAGGGAAGAAGAATATAGAGGTAAGGGTAATCACAAGAAACAACCAGAAATCCTTATGAATCCTTATGATTCATAGACACATACCAAGTCTCAACTCATGGTCCTGTGTTTGAATATATCTTTATGTTTTAGCTGACCCCTGATCCTCCCAAAGAAGTCACCATGTTGCTGGGAACAGTGTGTGTTTTCCCTCTGATAGTGGCTGCAAGTTTTGCCATGGAACCTTCTCATCTCAACGGTAATGACATGTAGACATTAGCAGTAGTCATTCACACTTTTAAACGACAGAACATGCAATATTTTTTCTGGTTTTCAGAAAATGAAAAGTTCACCATGGGTTTAGAGGTGTTCAGTTGTGGCTGTAACGACCTATGTCAGTTACAATCCTGTTTGACTGTGAAATCACTACTCATTAGCTATATTTCTGTCCCCTTAGATCTATTTTCTGGTTCCATATTGTGTGTCACATTGGATTTGAGAAGGGTTGGGTATCAACCAAGGCGAAGCGCTTATCGCGTTCCACATTTTGGAATCCGGCGAACATAAGGTGTTTCAGAAGTGGAGGAAGATGACGAAAACTTCTCCTCTGTGAAGACACCACGTCCTCTGCCAGATTGTGATTATTGTGGACAGGTGTTTAGCAATAAGCACAACTTACAAAGACATTTACACGATAAACAATGTCCTGAAATGGAAAATGATGATAATGGATCATTAAGTGATGTCACACACAACAACAGGAAAAATATGATAGCTGATCTCGAAGAGCAAGATATAAGACAAATGTATTGATGTACGCGTGAGCTGAAAAAGACTTTTTGGATGAGAAACGACAGCTTTACATGAAAAGAGGTTTAAAGGAAGACACAATAGAAGCCAAAAGGAAAAAAAAATAATCTGGATCACTTTTAAATAGACGCATGCACGATTTATTACTTATCTGTATCATAATGCAGTGGGGCCCAAAGACACAAAGAATACTGAACCAAGTACAAGACAGGAATAATCTGTATCATGACGTGTTTTCAAAACTGTACAAATATAAATCTTGGGTGAAAGATTTAACTAAAGATGACAATGAACACATGACATCTGCTGCAGAAAGTGAAGGACAGGAGGATGAGGAGGGGCAATGAGACAATTCACAAAAGATGTTAAGTAGATTATAGGAGTGTTCCTATCCTAATGTCTACTCATTTGAAATGGAGTGAATAAACCATGAAATCTGTATATCTCTCTTGTTTCTTGATGTATATCTGTTTGCTGACTGACATTAGACAACTGTACAATTCTTTATTCTATTACTGATAAACAACCCTATTTCTACTGAATACATTTAACCTACAGTACAGTTCTTAACACCACGGGTCTCCACCTCTTCAAACATTCAAACAGAACATACTATTATCCGTCACATGATGTTTACACCAGTATGACATAGAAGAAGAGTTGATCATGTAAATTTGACATTTGTCATTGTATAGCTACTTGTACAACCACTTGACTCTTCACCCTACTTGAGATATTCAGTGACCACCAGTCCTCAACTGCTTACTATGTCCTGTCTTTAATTCCGGTCAGACACTTAGTGACTGAAGCTGACCCCTGAGCATACATTCATTCTAGGCTGCGCGATTCACGCACTGATAAAATAGTCAGGCTATCAACAGCCATTCTGTGTACAATCTGGCCTTTAAACTACAATAGAACACAATTTCTGGCCAACTTGCCCCGCCACCTTTGTGAGCACAGGAAGCTGAACACATCAACCCTAGTTCCGCACCAAATGGCACCTACTTGAAAATATCTGTACACACATAAGTACAAGCCATGGTGATAAAAATGACAGCCCTAAATACTTAAAATTAGGGTCAGTTTTAATGATTGGATGGATGTGCTTTAAAAAAGCGTAAACATCTTACACTATTTCATCCAAACACAACTGTCTGTGTCCCTCAGTTATGGTAGGTTCAGCGAGCATGCGATTCTGCATTAGTGTAGTGCATAGGCTGTGCCCCATTCACGCACTAAAATTATTGTTTGGCGCATGAATATGCTAACAGCTACAATCGTTTATTTTTCACAGATATGGAAAATAAATACTCAGAATTTCTGAGTTGTTCCTTGTACCAAATCGCGAGTGAATGAAATCTATTTTAAGCTGCCTAGTGTTACCTCACTCTGCAAAGGTTCTGTTTGATTTAACAAAATTTGCTCTGATATTTCACTGTTTTTGACCTGATAAATAGCATCTAAATTTACCTGATGTGCATAGAGTCATATTAATTCTACCTTGAAAAAAGATTTTGCTGTGTGAACACTTGAGTCAGCAAACTCATACCACTCATACCATAATTGAATAATAATCACAGACCACTGAGGTCAACCTAAAGGTTTTCACACACACACCTAGTCCGGAAGGGATAAAAGGAGGGTGGGGCTTCAGGGCTCAAAACTCACTATCCAAACAGTTTGAGTCAGAAACGGACCAATGAATTGCAAATTTTATCATTGTACAAAATTGACACAGAAATATAAATAGCACACATGTTTATCATTTACTAATACCCAACAGCTTTCTTATATGTGAAAATTTTCCGGACTCCACCAAAAAAGTTGTTTAAGAAACTATCATCATTGAAAACGCAAAAGTTGTTATCTGTCGCGGTGGGGTGAAACCGCAGAAACGGAACAGCCACTATCTCGTCGTGCATGGGATACACATGCCTGATGAAAAATGAAGTTGAATGCTGACGTGAAACAGTTGATGATTAAAGTGTACGATTTTTTCCGTGCTGAAGCCAAAAGGCTCAAACCATTTTATGCCATAAATAAATTCCGTAAGCAGGCAGCAAAAGCTTTAGGAGTATTAGCAAGGGTACTGACAAATGTTCTGGAACATAAACATTGTGAGGGTGATGCGAAGCAGGTAGGGGTCGTGTCAAAATCACACAAGTTAAAACATTTGGACTACTTTCAAAAGAACCTTGTAAGGCAGTCTATCAACAAGCTCTATTCTGAAAACAAATACATGTCGCTGAAAATTTTAAAAAAGCATTTGAAGCAGGAACACAACCTCAGAGTATCAAAGTAAGAAAATTTCGGGGAGAATAGGTCAGTACTCTGTGAACGCCCTGATATCGTTCGCTTGAGAAATAATTTTCTCAGGGTTATAAAGAAGAAGCGCGAGGAAGGTTTCGAGCAAGTGTACTTGGTCGAGACCTGGGTCAATGCCTCGCACACTGCCAGCAGTCAGTGGGTACCCGATGGGGGTGATAAGGGGTCACGTAGAAAGCTGCCTCTAGGGAAAGGAGAGAGACTAATCATTCTCCATGCTGGTTGCTCCAGCAAAGGCTTTCTCCCAGGCTGTGACGTGGTATTCAGGGCAAAGTCCACAGATAACAGAGACTACCATTCCGAGATGAATGGTGCGGTTTTCCTCGATAGGGTTAAAAACAAGTTGGTACCAGCTCTACCAGAGAAGTCTTTTATTGTAATGGACAATGCCCCATACCACAGCGTGCATGACCCCGACAGTAAAGCCCCGACATCGAACAGTCGAAAAGGTGATATGATATCATGGCTCGACAAATTTCAGATCCCACGGCCTTCAAAGGCAACGAAGCCTCAGCTATATGAGATCATAAAAAACCCACAAAGGTGAACCTTTCTACAAAGTTGACAGTTACATAAAAAGTAAGGGTCACGATATTCTGCGACTTCCACCCTATCACTGTGACCTTAACCCCATTGAAATGATATGGGGTATTGTCAAAGGAGATTTTTCCAGATCAAACACAACTTTTAGATTACGTGACGTAGAGGTTTTGGTTAAGGAATCCCTTAAAGGTCACATGCAACGTAAAACACAACTTTGCAGATTCTGATACCTTTAAAAATAACGCGCGAAATCGGAGTTCAAACGATTAACGAATTTTCCCCCGAAAATTTCGGGGGAAAACTGGTCTCAACAGCTGGGCTGCGCTCATAGCATGTGTGCAGTGAAATAGGTTCACGCAACTTGGAAGTGGGCTGTCTGGTGAATACTCGGTGAAGGCTTTGGTGTGAGCTATTTTCCTAATGTTTTGTTGATATTTCACAGGCGCGAGCTTTTTTATATGTTATGACAGTAAATAAACTGTTTATATAATTTCATTTGTCTATTTCACCACACGTTCTTCTTACCGAGTCACTTTCTCAGTTCGATACAGAAAAGCAATGTCATTATTTAGCGTTGACAGAATTTCTAACTGTGATATAGATATGTCGTTGTCACAGACAAAACACAATGTCTTGTTTTATTGACACCTGTGTGTCTGCCTGCCTGTCTGCTAATGACAATATTCAATACACAACTGCGATCACTGACCACATGCAATTTGAACTTCAGGCTATACACCATAAACAATACGCATTGATTTATGGCCCGAGTTCGGTCTCTGTCACATTATGTAATTACAAAGACAGGCAGGTGTGATACTTGAACACATCACATGTTATGATGTCTGTTGATTGCAAAATGTTATACACAAAAAATGAGCATGTATTTACAAAACCCAACATCTCTATATATACACACACAATGAGCCGTGAGGGAGGCATCTGCAAATGAACCAGCCGTTACACTTGAGTGCACACCCACCCGCTCTGACTGGGTTCGGTATCCCGGCTGCTTCGTTTCGAGGGAGGTAAACCCAAGTACAAAATATTGCACTTTTGATTTGCGATTATACGCTTATAATTTTGTTTATTTGTTTTTTCATAATCAGCAATGCATATTATATGTCATGAAGAAGTGATAATTGTGTTTTAATTATGTTTGATTTTTTGGTTGCATGTGACCTTTAACAAAATCACGACTGAAACTTGGCAAAACGGTGTCAACAAGGTAGCTAACGTCATTGAACAAGTTTACTGGTCTCGGGATGGCTTACAACAGGCAACTGTGGCACTATTTGTCATCCCTTTAAGTTGTGACTATAACACTGCGACGGACGAGGAACCGACAGGTCTCCCGGAATAGATTTTGAGATGTCTCCCGCCATGACTGGCTGTTCCGTTTCTACGGTTTCACCCCGCCGCGACAGATAACAACTTTTGCATTTTCAATGATGATAGTTTCTTTAACAACATTTTTGGTGGAGTCCGGAAAATTTTCAAATATAAGAAAGCTGTTGGGTACTAGTAAATGATAAACATGTGTACTATTTATATTTATGTGGCAATTTTGTACAATGATAAAATTTGCAATTCATTGGTCCGTTTCTGACTCAAACGGACTGTAAGTATTAACGACTTATACACATGTATAAATATGTATATCTACATGTTAACTGAAATTTCATTTCAAATTTTAACAAATACATAAGTATTTCATGGTGATATTCTAACTTACTTTCAAACAAATTATAATAATTTCATGGATATAAAAATATTCATTTTTGTTTATTTTTCCTTAGATATTTTAGATAATAAATTGTCAAAATATAAAATGTGCCACTGCAATAGTATGAAAGTATACACATCTTTCAATTCATTATTTCATATGAACTTGTCTGCTACCAGGCGATGGCCTTTGGATGGTTGATCCCCATACAACAAAACTGTATGCTGCCTCCAGAGTTTGATATTTTTCAAGGTTACAGCATCTCCAAAAGTCACCAACATGTCCCCAAAAACCTGTCAGCAGATAAACTAACAGTCTCATCCCAACGCCTCTTCAACATTCTTGAACAGGTATTGATAAATTTGAATCTAAATATTTTTCATGAATGTAATATGAGAGCTTTACAAACATATTAAAATTTCATTGTAGTATTTACAAATTTCAAACTCTCAATTATAAAGTATCAAATAATACTAATCCTCAAAGTCACTCTGAAATATTTCTCTCTTTCAGTCTTGGATTCAGTCCAGTGCATGGAAATCTGTCTATGAAGCAGTCAAGATGTTTTGAAAATGAAAGGAATTGTAGAACTGTCAAGATATTCATAATTATTATTTTTTAACTTTAACTTTGGACATTTATTGAAATGCTTTATGTATTTATATATTTTATATTGTTATGAAAATATCATGGATTGAAAAATATCAAACTCGAAAATGATGTTTGAAATGTTTGCATACTCTCTCAAGTCATATTTTTGTTTTCAGGTGAGGAAATTGAGTGATGCAGTGGCAGTGTTCAGACTTCCACATAGACTTCAACAGTGTTTTGATGTGGCCAAACAACTTTCATCTATCACAAGCCTACTGTCTCTATTGGAGAACTTTCAGTTTGTTTCTATCAGTGATGTGCTACCGATTGACAGACAAGAGCGGTTCAAAATCACAGACCTGCTGAAAGCAAATGGTCTCACATTCAAGTCTGTACTCTACTCACATTCACCTGGTGGCAGTATTCCAAATTTGCACTTTATGTGGAAGGAGCCAGTAGACATTTCTGAGATTGAATCTGAAACAACGACTGCCCAGTTGTCAGCTGAAATACAACAACTTGTGCCACATTACCATACGTCGACTTTTTGCAGAAAAGATCAGTTTGGTTGCCAACATGAAACCAGTGTATGTGAGGGAAATCTATGCTCAGTTGACTTGTGATGCAACAACCACATCGTCCTCTTCTGACATTGACAGTCGTGCTTAACTGGTAGTTGACTTGCGAGATCATAATCCAGGGCGTCCTCCCGTTTATGGCAGGTTCTTCGATGAAGTCGGGAACTATGTGAACCCTGTTGTAGAGACAGCTGTACATGAACGAAGACATGAATCGGTCACCTACCTAGCAAAGGCCATGTCCGTCTCACATTTGCTGAATGAAGTGAAGAAAAGACTTCCTCCTGATACACCAGTCCCATCTAAACAGTGGCTTCGTCTGCAGTTTTGGCCCAAAACCCCAACAAGCAAAGCTTCTTTGCAGTATACCGGAACCTTGGAGGTTAAGTATATGGTTCAACAGAGACCACATGTTGATGTTTATTATGCAGCAGCATACTTCAAATACCTGAAAGAATATGCTGTGGAGTTCAGGGATCATATCACAATGTTCTGTATAGACGACAAGCACAAAGTGAATGTTGGAGAGCCAGGATGTCATGTTGCTGCTGTAGATAGAGGACGGCAGGTGTTGGTTGGATTGAATGAAACATTTCAAGTGGCAGATCATGACTTTACCAAGTTGTCGCTCACACCTAGTGTGTGTCTTGAAGTGGATGTACCCAAAGATTTGTGTGGATCATTCTACAGGTGCACTGCACATGTGGGCCTAAAGGACAGTGTGTTTCAGCCATCCTCTCTGCTACGCCATGCAGTGGAACAGAAGTCTATCATTGGTGAAGAACCAAAAGAGATCTTGCTTTTGTACTCAGATGGTGGGCCTGACCACCGAGTTAACTACCTGTCTGTTCAGCTATCTATTATTGCCCTTTTCCTTGACAAAAACTATGATGCTGTTATTGCAGTTCGCACACCACCTGGACATTCATGGATGAATCCATGTGAACGAATAATGTCTATGCTTAATCCCTCTCTGCAGTCAGTTGGTGTAATGAGAAAGGCTTTGGACTCAAACCTTGAAACCCACCTGATGAAATGGAACAGTGTGCAAAACATCAGGGATGCTGCAAAAAAGGTCCCAACACTCAAAGATGCTGTTATTGACAGTGTTTAGCAGCCATTTCGTTTGTTGACAGAATTATTTAAGAATTTGTCTCTGAAAGAAGTCCCCTTTGAAATCTACCCAAGTGCATCAGATGAAGACCTCAAGGAATTTGTTGGTGATCTGAATGTGATAGATGCTACATTATCACCTGACATGACAAAGAAAATGGCTCAGAAGTTACACAAATTTCTTAAGTTTATGGAACAACATTGCCAGGAAAGACACTATTCCTTCTGTGTCAAAAGATGCAGTGACAAGGATTGCAAATTCCACTCTGTACCACGTCTCGAACCAGACGTATTCAGCAAGATTCGATTTTTGCCTGACCCAGTTCTGGACACAGTGAATACAAGAGAAGGCACTCATTCTCTACCATTTCAGGAGGTGTATCGGACAATCACCACAGACAGACCGACCAACGTTAAAACCTGTGAAGACTGATGATGGGCATGATATGCCTTTCAATCCTTCTGCTCATTGTGTGTCAAGAATGCAACAAGCCGAGGTTGCTGCATGCCGCCAGAAAACTAAAAGATAAGGAACTCTTTGACAAGTGCATTGAAGACGTTGATTTTTCTTGTGGATCATGTTTGAAAGATTTCAAAGAAACACAAGATGGTGTTCTTTCATAAGTGTTTGTGAGGAAAGATCTTCAGTGCTCACTACCAGTTGAGATTCCCTACTACAGTTCTGGACTGTATCCCCAAATATACTGCCACTGTGCCTGCAGTGATATTATTGTGGGGCAGGCAGCAGTGGATGTGTATCCCATTTGTGTTGAATGTATCAAGATTCATCCCAAGATAATGAAACGGAAAAGCAAGATGCTTGAGCCAAAAATCAAATCAAAGTAAAGTTGGTATTTACGGTTGTGAACTCAATGGAAGTTTGAACTTTACCTTTCAGGATAGTGAATTTCATTACAAAGTAGTTGATATTGTTTGGAACATTCATTTTGCCGCTGTTCATTTATGGTATGACCAAAGAATTTGGTTTAAAACGTTTGGTTATTGCTCTTGTCACATTGGATACAAATGAATGTGAAGTTGGGTTTTTAAAATTATTGTTCCAGTCACAGGATATTGTTAACGTTTGATCATAATAACTGTTCTAGTCATACTCTCAAAAGGTTTATGAAGGAGGCACGTTATATAAATACTGATGTAAACCATTTTTTCAGTAAACTTTATTTTGAATGAATTTCTGTTGTTTTTTATTACTTTCTGTGAAGAACTAGTAGCATGATAATTAAAAACAAACACACTGTAAATAAAAAAAAAGTTGCGTCATCGAGTCATTTTAGTCTGTATGCATTATACCAGAAACATTTTAATTTTTTTGGGGGGCTAATAGGTTTCCAGTTATTCTACTTCATTCTCAGTGCCTACAAGGTGATCCCTATGAGGTTATAGCTCAAGTCTAAATGTACCACACTGCCCTGCAGACACAATGTATAACAAGGGAAAGGTTATAACACATCATAGTTGTGTTTTTGACATGCTTTGGTTTGCGGTGTTTCGGGGTTGACGTCAATAACGGTTTTGGCAAATCCAGTTTTCAAATGTATAATTATAACTTGTGACCGGATGTTTAAACTTGCAAGAAAGGAAACTGAGGTAACTAACAGTTCCTGTACATTCCTTTACGATGCACCATCAATCTTATGCACATATGAAATCCGAATGAATGGCAGATTATGTCCAGTCACTCCCTATTTCCTATATGTTACAGGGATCGAGAAAAGAGTCACCTGTAAGTATCCTTCAACTACTCATGAATTCTAGTAATATATCTAGTACCCTCATTAATCTAGTTTCAAAGATTGTACATTTTCAGAAAATGATTTATGAAGAGGGAGTTTTGTTCCCAGTCACCCTGGATGCGCCGTGATCAGGAGGGAATCTCGCGGTAGGTGAATAGATCTTGTGGGAGGTGTCGAGAGTGATAGAAGGGAGAAATCGTTCAGTTGGAGCAGGGCTATGATTGTATCAACTCATCCATACATCGATCACCGTTCAGCGCACTTCTTCACTTCCAACTGACTACATATTTCATACCAATGACGTTCTTCCGCCTGATTACAAATAGCTGTTATATATTTCATGGACACTGAACACGTAATGAGGATTCCATCTCGAAAGCAAAAATGGTGATTCATGCAGGGCCTGCCAGGTTCCTCTCTCCAACCCAGAGTTCCATGCGCCAACACGAAATGGACAGGGGAACTAGCTCAGTATTGCGCTCGCGTGGTCCTGAATCTGCGTACGGCTATAAAATCACACAGAAATGTAAAATATTAAATTTCCTATCCGTTGGTATAAACATAGGTGCGACTACCTCGACGGTTTGAGAAATAGACACTGCTATTATGACTGCGTATCTTATAGTGAGCAACACGCTCACCTGTTTGTCATCAATTTAACGTAAATGAAAAATAATATTTCCCAACACCCGAATATTTTTTAGGATAAGAATTTTCTTTGATTAGTAGCTATTTCTCTTCAAAAGTATGCCATCAAAGGTGCAAAAAGATAGCTTTTGTGCACGGAACTATTAGAATATGGTTGTAAGGTTTGTCCAAATTAAGACATGACATTGTATATATATTTTCAAACAAGTTTCGTATAGATATTGTTAGGGTCTGATATCCTGTCATCACAATATTTTTAATCGAATAGGAATTGATTATATTATCGAAAACAATGATAGAGAATCATAGAACGTTTCTGACATACACGCACCTGGTCAATCAGTATACATAATTGTTTTTTCTGTAAAACGAAACAAACAGTTTCAATGAACAAGACAATTCTTTTAAATATGTGTGCATATGCATTTCATAGAATGTATAAATCATTTTCAATAATATTATCAGTTTTACTTGTAAGGTTGAATTAAATCACTGCTTATTAAGTTGTCCATATGGAACTGCAATATTAGTCCCAATGTATTGAATATTGTACATCATTGGAACTAAAGTACATGTTGGAGTTATGACTACGTTTCATCTTCTAACACGTGTGCAAAGGTTTAATATGGTGTACTACACTAAATGTGTCAATATCTTATGTAAATATTATTCAACAATCAAAAACTTTCAAAGAATAAAAAACGTATACCTTATAGTCCAGTTCAATAAGGGTTGTTATCTCCCTTCAAATTTACCTCCCCTTTGTAGCTCGATTGTTCACTGAAACTTCCGGAGAGCAAAAAATGGAGGACGGTCATCCAATTACCAATGACGCGGATGGAGTGAAAGGAAACGCTTCAAAGTCTGCGTATCGACACTACTGTTGTGTTTGTAGTAATTATCGTGGGAAGATCGTGAATGGAAAAAGTGTCACTTTTCACCGCTTTCCAGCAAAAAAAGACCTTACAAAAGGCTTGGTTATGGCAAATACGAATTGTCAGTAAACATTTTCAGTTCAGTGAAAAGAATGACAGATTGTGTTCATCGCATTTCAGTAATGACAAATACATTACTGATAAAAGTGTACCCACAGTATTTATCCTGAAAAACGGATTTACTAAGATCGTTGAAAGCGACAAGGTGAGAAAAAAATGTTTTCTGATGCTATATTTTCACAATCATTGGGCCCCAACATCTACATATTTATAGATCTATTAGACTAAATGCAATCAAAATATTTTATGAGATCTCTAAACACACTAAATAATGTAAAGAAGCCCAGATACTCTCTTCATTTTCCTAAAGCTGAAACAATCTAGGCATGCCAGATTTAATAGACTTTGCTTTGGCTTGTTTGTGTATTTGTATGACAAGCCACTCTTGTAAATCCTGCTTCATTTTCAACCTGTGTTCAAGTTATAGAACTATTGGTTTTATTCAGCACACATTACTTAATGTGTGATTCATTTAAACGTTTTACTGCACCAGTCATTTGTATGAAACATATCTAAACAGGTAGCTAAATCTGGCATTAATCATGTTAATCATATGCTTTTAATTTTTTCAGGTAACTGAAGAGATTGTTGAAGAAATCACAACGTCTCCTGAGAATGCAGATTCTGATAGTGATGCAAGTGTAACTAGAAATGCAGTGTATTCACATGTTGTGGATCTTTTCTACACATCTTCAACTATGCTTCATGTTTATTGTGCATACATCAGATATTAGCACATGTGTCAATAAATGTGTAAATGTCATTCACAGGAAAAGTTCATTCAAGTTTGCAGACCGACAATAGTATTGCACACTCATCGGTTTCATCTGTTTCTTGTCAGACTGACACAGTCAATGAAATAAAGGCATTTAAAACTGTATGAATTCAAGTCTGTCGCTCATCATGGTTATGATTAATTTCTTCAACCTAAACAGTGCGACATTAAGAAGGGTGGATGCCCATCAGATTTGAAAATCTCCCCGGTAGTTCGTGTCTGATTGTAATAAAGTATCAAAGCAGTGTGGACTTTTTCAGGTTTTCTAATGCCTGGATGGTATAATGACTGATCCAAATTGATCCCATTTCTGTGTTTTTTTACCTCGATATTTAATCATGTCATGTAAAAATATGACGTCTATTACGTATGATATTAAAAACACCCATTTGATTTATTTGAATCCGTAAACTAAAGAACCCTACTTTGCCATTGCTAGAAGAATCTGCAAATTTACTTAGGTAAATAGGTACATACAGTTTTAGCACATAGCAAATGCTTATATGTATTTCTTTTGCAACAATGAAGTTATGTTCGTATTCTCAAAACAGAGTCGGCCCATAAGTTTTCAAATTTGGTCAAATATGGTCAGAGAGTGCTCACAGTGCGGAGAGGTTGTAGACTTTTTTGAGTCCAGAATTAAATTGTGATGTGCTTTATACAAATCAAACAATCGTACGATTGGAATGTTCTCAACATTTGTATCCCATTTTCGTATGCTCGATGGCTCGGGTAGTACTTCGCCAAGTGGTGTAGTAAACCGGGTCACCTTGCGTTCTTGATTCTCTCTGATGTCATCTTCCTGAATCTCGCTTAGCGGCCGAAAACGACGTTTCCCAATCCCGCGCGCTCGAATGAGAAGCTCTGCCTTTGTCCCTGATACTTGGGTGCCTCGTTCTCGCAAGTAATCCTTCAGGACGCGAACAAGAAGTTTATCCAGGTCATTCGTTGCGCTTTGCTTACTTTCCGCCATTTTGACACAGATATTTTGCTCTCCGGAAGATCGTTGCATTGTGGGAAAACAAAGGGCGACAATCCGGAAGGGAGATAACAACCCTTATTGAACAGGGCGTATATTGAACAAGGCTATTTGAGATACTGAAATTAGTTTCATGAAGAAATATCTGAACGATACGCAAAATGTACATACAACAATGTTGACCTATGACATCACTACCGATGACCCATTTCTTACAAAATGGCGGCTTCGCTGACAAGGGTACACAGGATTTTGCGAGGTCTCTTCACTTGATTCATTAATTATCTGATTCTCATATTTCAAAACACGCAGCAAATAACGCGGTTAATCGCGATTTCGTTTTGTGTCAAAAATGGCGACATTTACGATGAAGCATACTATAGTATTTTGAAAGGCTATTTTATGAAATTTAACTTTCTCAAGAAACAGGGAATTTCCCGCAGAATTCACAACTGCGAAGTGTGTGTCTGTGCATGATGTACAAACAGAAACCAACATCAACCAACCAGAGGGCTTAAGCTTGCTTCGACCACACACTTGTTTTGTGTGGATATATCGTCAGCCATTTGTGTCAAGATCGTTTAGTTGAGAGTCAAAATCGGGTTTCAATCGACTTGCAGAAATAACAATAAAGCATTGGTAGGTGTCATGACCGGTGCTCGATAGGCCAATCATCCATGATTCTGTTTCCATTAAGTTTTAATTGATTGCATGCGATGGTAGCGTAGCGATCGGCAAAGCAGTAGGGTGGGGTGCCTTGTCATAATGTATTGCACTGTGAAGCATTTTGAGTCGGGGGTCATCTCAAAAACAATATTTATTTGATAATTAATCCTCGCAAAGACACGAGGGCCTGTGGATGAAACGGAGTAGTTTACTGTAGGAGGCTGTACAGGCGAAGAGAACTCACTCTCCTACCCAGAGTTCCATGCGGCTAGCATAGTACCTCTGCCACAGGCCAGAAGGATGTGACGATTCCTCACATCTTGCACCGTCATTCAATATAATGTGCATATTTCTGAACTCTTTTATTTTTGACGAGTCTACATATCTAATTAATTAATCATCTTTGATAGAATGGATTAGTTTTACTAAAGCAAATATCCTTAAACGTGTAACACTATTTCGATTTGCGTAGCGATACTTTGTTTACATAGATTGTACGGCCCCACGTACTGCCATCGAAGCCGACGGAGTAAACGGTGCAGCCCATTTGATATATAAATATGTATTGTCATGCAGGCGCTTGAAAGACCTTTGTAAATATCAATTGTTCTTATTTCTTGGAAACGTCTTTTCAAAATTCTTACTTTCTGTTATTTTACGTATTTTATGTCAATATTCACGAGAAATAATAGTAAACGTAAATATTCGTTATATTTGCGTGAAAGGATCGTCGCTTTTCAAATACACATCCTAATTTCCCTATGCAAAAAATGTTTTGATCATAAGCTTGTCAGAAAACTGTCAGCGAATAAAATCATCTCTGATGTATGAACGAGACAAATATGCATGTAATTAATACATGTGGACACCGGCGGCCGAGCATACAAATTAAACCTCCTATGCAAATATTCCAAACTTTCCTCGCGGATGACGTTAGAAAGGTATACGTGTGTTTTAGAGCGGTTATGTGCGCCAGCATTTTCTTCGCACACACTTTCCGTAAAGATGCCAAATGACAAAAAATCGTAGCACAGTGCTTTCATCGGTACACTATCAAAAGCGGAGACATTTATTGTTTTATAACGCATAACAAAATTTTGGACAACATTTAGCTGTGTCTATTTCTCAAACCGCCAAGGTATTTGCACATATATTTTAACAACGGATAGGAAATGTTATATTCTAAATTCCTATGTAATTTTATAGCCGTACGCAGATCCAGGACCACGCGAGCGCAATACTGAGCTAGAGCGGCATTATCCTCCTCGCGGTCGTCCCTACACAGACAGTCGGAATACCGGACTAGTGACAGTTTAGATATGAACATATATAGAGGATATTATATGAGTACCCATGTCATACTATGTTTACGACACGAGTGCCTAAATATTGGTATTTCCTGAGCGAGAGCGAGGGATATACCGATATTTAGGCACTAGTGTCGTAAACATAGTATGATAAGGGCACGAATATAATATTCCATTTTTTACCGAAGTCGTCAAATTCAGGAAAATAACCCAAAACTACTTTCAAACATAAGGTTGTCTACCCGCCGTCGCCGCATGTAGAACGCAACGTCACAGAAGAAACGTGACGTCATATATAGCATTGTTCATGACGTCACGTCACCATGACAAAGTGATATTTTTCCCAAGGGCATCGTATGAAAAATATGAACCCCGATATTTTCGCCCTCGTATGTAATGAATATAGTTATTGACAACCATGGACAGATGTAGAGACAACAGTGGAAAGGTACAGAAACAATAGCATTGCCTTGGACCAGTTGATGTGATAGCAGACACGGCCAAGAGGATGACCAGTTAAGGTCATACATGTCATACATAGTAAGTTTTGAAAGGGACAGAGTGGGACGGGTGACAAATCACTGTACAATACTGTGGGAATGGGAATTAAAAATAAAGACAATCGTCATATAAATAACTGCAATTAAGACTTACTTGTATTGGCTACGTAGTTCTTCGTCTTTTGAAATATATGGACGATCGCTGTCCTGCATTAGTCGCTGTGACTGTAACGTATCTCTGCCACATGCCTTGATTATTAGCGCTATGAGCATACCTTGTGTGGAGTTTGGCGCTATATAAATCGACACATTATTATTATTACATGCAGCCATAATGTGACGATTTGCCACGTCTTCCACAGTCCATTCAAGATGTTGATTCACAAATCAATACAAAGGTATCACCATGGCAGTGCCAAACGTTTTTACTCTTTACTTCAGACGAGTCCACACATGAAATGAAACATGTTTGATGGAATGGTTTAATTGCACTAGGAAAATATACTAAAACGTTTGATATCAACTTCTTTGAGAGGCATTTAGATGTTGGAGCAGTAAGGTAGGATAACAATATATGGATGAATAACGTCTTTATTGCTGTGAGAGTGACGTTTCGGTGTAGGTTATAACACCGTTATCAAGCAAGTGATGAACAGCATAAGGATGAAGGAGCATATATACAAGTTAGAGCAGATGTTTGTACAGTACAATGGGGATTAGGAATCCAGACACAATAACAACACAAGGGCTGGAAGCCAGACACAATAACAACACAAGGGCTAGATGAACGCGTGAACAATTCAAGCCTGCAAAGTACACAATGGGAAGTTATTCATCCAAATATTGTTATCCTACCTGTGTCATATCAACACCCATGGGTGATATCACTTGTGAAACCTACCAGTCAAGGCCCAGATAAATCTGGAGATTTGACTTTCAATTTTGACAAGGAACTGTATACAATGAATCCAGACACACTGTGTGAAGGTGTTGGGTCATCTACTTTTAGCCTGTACTACTCCAAGGGTCCCTTTCGGAACAGTTTCGTGTCCAAATCCTTCGAACCTGTTTCAAGCGATAACTTGTTCTCTCAGCTGTGACCATGGATACACATCTAACTGCGGCTCTATATCTTGCTTTGCTGGACATCTGACTGTAACGGAATCTTGTACAGGTAAGTTAAGGAGTACATTGCGCTCTCTTATTGTGTTTTATTGCAATGTTTTGTAATTGTTAACCACTCATATGAAATATCTTAAATATTTTGAAATGCCCACCAGATACGTTAAAAGTATCCGTTGTAAATGGTCAAGCGTCACACTTGTTGTGGGTCAAAATGTCGTTGTTATACAAGACCTAATCACCATAGGATCATTTTTTTTATTTCTATGAGTCCGGTCGTCCCGCCGAAGACCCGGGCTTGATTCCCCACATTGGTACAATGTGATTTTGCTGGAATATTGCTTAAAGTGGCGTGAGGCCATACTCACCCAGATACCCATTGGCGAATGTTTCTTTGTCAGAAATCAGATGTCCCCCGCCAAGAGTTAGTAATGGTGTCATTCACTGTGGAACCAACACAGTTCATAGACTCGATGACGTCTGTTACCTACGGTGCAATGCTGGTTATAAACTTGGCTCGTCTTCCTCGGTCAAGTGTTTGTCAAGCGAAACCTGGTCAACTCCGCTAGTCTGTTTGGTATATGTTTCTAAAATGCACGATATGACAGTGAAATAATACAATGTGGCATGATCAAACACTACAAAACGTTTCTTATACTGTTACTATTTATTCGTGAGACGAAAGTACCGAGGCATGGTTGTGGTACAAAAACAGATCTTGTTCCTAGGTTAGCTCCAAGAATGATCTGGTAACGAGCACCCACTGCTTTCCTATCTGCTAAAATAGTCACACAGATTAAAGGAACAATGTAGAGTTAACTATAATTTATGGTATGTATGAAAATTGAGCAGGTCATCAACTAAAATGAGAGGATCACTTCATGTGACGGTAACGATGATCTGAGATGAATATTTCACTCGTACCAAGGGCAATGCTACACAGCAGAGCCAAAGAGAATAAAATATACTTTACAAATTTAGTTTAAAATAACATCTTCTTCGTGCATTTTGAGGAGTGCGGAGAAAGGGACAGCCAGGTGTTAGAGAAGCACGTGCACAAGTTCCCACCAAGTAATTGATTCATTAGCCTGTGCTGTGCCGTCTCCATCCTTTTTCGCACACCTGGCTGTCCCTTTCTCTGCACCCCTCCCTCGTAACAAATAGTGAACTGTGTCAAAATTTTAATGATAGTTTCTTAAAGAACTTTTTTGGTGGAGTCCGGAAAATTTTCAAATATAAGAAAGCTGTTGGGTATTAGTAAATGATAAACATGTGTACTATTTATATTTATGTGGCAATTTTGTACAATGATAAAATTTGCAATTCATCGGTCCGTTTCTGACTCAAAGGGTCTGTAGGTAACGCTAATAGCTCTTTCCCCGTGTGGACCCAAGGTAGAATACGTCTTCAGCACCCCATTGTTGGTCGTAAGGGGCGACCGAATTGGACAACCTATTTGCCGTGAGTTGCGTCCCTGTGTCGGTGGAGGAAGGGATTCTGGTGGTTGAGGGCATTGGTTCCAGGTACAACGTTCCTTTGCCCAACACACCACTTCGGCCCTGACCTCACCTTGAGTGGTGGAAGAATGGGCCCGGTTCTCTCAGTCGGCTGGTCACGCCAAGCCCTGTGCATTGTGAATATTTTTGCCTATTTAACCCATTGTTGGGTCTTGGTCATTTCGATTTCCTAATCATAAATTATTGCTATATTAAATTGCCTAGAATCCTATGTCAGAAGTCGGTGGCTCGTGGGCCAATCTGGTGATGTTGGCCTCCAAATTTACTGTATGTCCCGACTGCCTCCGTGGTGTAGTGGTTAGAGCGTCCGCCCGGAGAGCGGAGGGTCGCGGGTTCGATCCCCGACCGCGTCATACCAAAACGCGTTAAAATATGGTACTTGTTGGTCCCTGCCTGGCGCTCGGCATTAATGGGTACAACAAGGACTGGTCGGCTCGGAGTCAGTATAATGTGTCTGAGTGGGGTATTCATGATTCACTGCGGCATGGTATCTCAGTGAGCTAGCACTATAAAACCAGCTTAAGTCTGGGCTAGTACAAGCAGCCGCACATACACACACAAACGCATGCACGTCGTCAAATGAGCGAAATTTTCTCAAGCACGACGTTAAATCAAATTTCACCTCACCTCACCTGTATGTGAGGACCAACCTGACATTCAGTTTGATATACAAATACTGCTAAATACTGGCAGGAATATAACATCCCTGTATCGCTGTTATCAGCATCTTTGAGATCAGCTGCTATTTGACATCGTCCATATTGACACTCCATGGTGGGTGGGGAGCAGGGATGCCGAATGTTCTTCCTTTCATCATGGCATCCCCACAAGCTGGTTTATATCGTAATGAGAAAAAATAGACGCCCAGACGAAATAGATCGTCCATCTGAAACTATTTCCGTAAACGTTGATTCTTGGGATCGATTTCTTGTGATTAAGGCTGAAAACTTTCTATCGATCAAACTCAACCCCATCGCAATTTCGAAAGCTGTGTCTGGAATTTGAGGAGAAGTAAAGAACGTTACCCGTCTCCGTAATGGCTGGTGGACTGAGCACGGAGACAGCAATCTCTGTTGTCTGCCAAGACCTTTGCCAATATGGAGGTTGCTGTGGCTGTACACAGACAGTCGACCTCTTGTCGTAGTAGCATAGGAGACAGAGCTCGTTGTCTCTGTGATACGTCAGAGGAGGACATAGCTTTGGAGCACGAGGATCAAGGAGTTACGGAGGTGAAACGTTTCAGCTTCAAGAAAGATGGCAATATCACTTAAACCAATAATTATGCCAATCAAAGAAAACATCCCTTACGCAGTCAAAACAGGTTTTTTTTAACATCGGAGTGGATGTCCTCAATCCGCTCCGATGTTACAAGTGTCAGCATTTCGGTCATGGGTCTCATTCATGTTGAAGTTCTGTGGTGTGTCATCGCTGTGGAGAGTTCAGACTGTGTGAATATTTTCTTTTTATATCACAGTTTTTAACACAAAATGTCAAGACCGAGTTGGGTCAACCCTGTCTAATCAAACAACCCTTCTTCACTTATACAGATCACTTATCCGCTCGAAACGTGATTACGTTTCCATCGTAAATGGTAGGGCCTGTAACAGCAACCTAAAACTGTTAGATTCTGTCCACCACCAAGGTCTTAGACTTTGTCTTGGATCCTTCCGAACGTCTCCTGTTGACAGTCTCTACGTCCAGGTTGATGAGCCATCTCTTAAACAACGCAGTATATAATTTCTAGTTTAGTGAGTATGTCACTAAACTATGTTCTAATGATTCCAACCCTGTCTGTAATTCCCTCTATGGGGATATGTACAACACGTCTTCTCTTATTCCGCCTTCAAGAATAAGAATAAAAACGTGTCTCCTTCCTAGTGATACCACAAGTTGATCTTACATTGATCACAAACAAGAAATCCGAAACTAATGAAGTACAGTGTAGACGAGAATTCACTCAAATATAATACATACAAATCCTAATTTAAATCTTTATTTACAGATGGATCCAAGGATGGAGGCGCAATTGCTTGTGTCGCTGTCATTGGATCCAGAACATTATCATCCAGATTACCAGATGACAGCTCAATATTTACATCAGAAGTGGTGTTTGAAGTATTGTGGTATTGTAAATTTATTGTCCTCCTGTGGCGGTACGTAAGTCCCAAAACATTCGAAGTAGATTTAAGTTTTTGGACGTAGTGTATTTGTGATTATAAATGATGGTAAAATTTGACTACAATTGCTAGCGGCTGATTGGATGATGTAAATCGAGCTGCATGTAGGGTCCATGCAGGTAGCAAAAGTACCGTTTTTATATTGTATTGACCGTAATAGTTGTTTAATTTTATAGTGCAAGCCTAGTGTTACATTTTCATTGCATCGCAAGGCACAATATACACTGCTTTTGAACACTACACAGCAATCTTTTAAATAAATTGGTGACCTGTGCACTACTGAAGAAATCCCACGTGCTATGCACATGTTTACCGCACCTTTTCCTGTGAAATTATAATTGACTATACAGTTGTCCAAACGAACACGGTACTTGAAAGCTCACTTGGAACACAACGCAAGACTCGTCAGGTCTTCTGTGTGTAGATAAGTGTTACATTGACGTATACATACATACATACATACATGCATGCATGCACGCACGCACGCACGCACGCGCACGCACGCACGCACGCACGCACGCACGCACACACACACATGCATGCATACATACATTTGTATAGCGCCGATATCCAGCTCAGATGCTCAAAGGCGCTTTGTTTTTCCCTCGATCACTGGATGCCAATCGCAACGGCACGTAGTATTATGAATCTCAACTCCCTGGGGAGCATACAACTCTTGCGGTCACTAGGCGCACCGAGTTAGTGTGGCTTTCCCATCCTTACGAGATACCCATTCACAGCTGGGTGTTGTGGGACATATAGTCACAGTACTTTGTCTAAGTTTACTGCACGTTGATGTACCCGCAACTAGGTGTTTGCACGTATTCATGTGGCCACCATCTGGTCATATACCAACGGATTCGTGGGTTCTTTTAAGTGCACAGGGTCGTGTACTAGTGGTGTTCCAATGATCGATTATAATCGATAATTGATCGGTTACCCTTTTCCGATGCGATAATCGATAGCAAAATTTCATAATTGATTGTCGCTAATAATTCTTACGAAAACAATAATGAATACCCAACTCAGACCACAAGACAACTGGCAGTTACCGATAATCATAACTTCTATCCGCTTTATTCACAGAAATCATAATCATATTGTTTCTACTCACGCCTCAAAATGAAATGTTTACTGTACACTAGGGGTTGTGACAACACTGAAAGAGTCTGCACACAAAGTTGACTCCAAGGTTTTTACACCCGGTCACAGGTGGGCTCGATCCCGTCACCTCAAGCTCTCTGGATCACTAGCCTGACGTTTTAGCCAGTTCGCCCACCACGCCCCACGTATAAGTTCTCTCGTCACGATATGGCTGAAATATTGCCGACGTGACGATTTACCTCACTCATTGGTTGTAGATGACAGAACGTGGTGAATTTCTTTGACCAAGAAATGTGTATTAGGATATTGAAGTAAATGCATACCAGTGCATGCTTCAAAAGATAGCTACTTTTTTTCTTCCCAGACACGTCTCCTCCGGTGATCATCAACTGTCCTTCCAGTCAGACTCACTTCCTAGAATCAAACCAAGCAAAACTAAACATCACGTGGTCAGAGGTCAAGGCTATGGACTCTCCGAAAGGAGACTTGGTGAACGTGACCTTGACCTCCAGCTTACGACCCGGAAGCGCTTATCCAGCAGGGAACTACTCAGTTCGGTACGATGCCAAGGATGACGCAGGAAACAAGGCCTATCCATGCTCTTTCACCGTGTCAATAGCAAGTACGAATGAGTCATACACATGATCTTCAAGCATTAATATGCATACGTATGGATATACTTGAGGTCAACTATGCAGATTAACTCAATTCATCTATGTCATTTGGGGGGTAAATCTTAGATCATTTATTGACAATTTACAACAAATGTATTAACGATAATGGCAGCGATATGGAACCACGCTGTTTTGTAATGCATAACGCATTGTCTTGTTTTAACAGTGGATTTGGAGGCGTTATAAAGTGTGAAAGAGATGTTATATTCTAAACCCAAAGTTTAACCAAAATCTGTGAACCACATTTTGACATTAATCATTTATGAATATCTAATCTGAAAATGTTTGGCTGTGTTGCTGAGACCTATACACGTCACTGGTGCTCTTCGATGGAAATAAAGTCAGATTGCCTCGATATTGCCTCATCACATCATCAACAAATCCCCAAACTGCTGTATTATATTCATAAAAGCAAAAGTAGGGGTATCAAGAGAATCTAGCTTTGAACAGATTTGATGCCCAATTGTCGACCGGTGTGGAGCAATGAACACATGGATATTATTGCACAAGGGATATATTTATGTTCTGCTTGCAGTGTGTCGTGTGCGTTCTTGTGTTACATCCGTATTAACAAATCCATACTTTTGACAGCCTGTCCAAGCGGCTCCTATATCAAAGTGTCAAACAGCAATCTTGATTGTGTTCCGTGTCCTACTGGAACATACCAGGAACACGAGGGACGCCTCACGTGTGTTCCATGTGCAGCCGGTTTGACGACAACGTCCGAGGGGTCAAATTCCTCGTCCAGCTGTAAAGGTAAACTCAAAGAAAAGTAGTGTGGTTGCACACATCTGTGTTTGTTGTTATTAAACGTATTTAACATTACTCCAACTACCTGATGGTTGAACTGAACCAGACAATCCAATGAACAAGTTAGTAATCCAATGATTATTAAAAACAACGAACCGTGCAAATATCATAGGTTATCTGTATTACCTCTATCACAGAAAACACATCTGGTTTATGATACTTAGATAAGAACATGTAAACTGTATTTAGATGTAGCACTGAGTGAGTATGGTTTTACGCCGCTTTTAGCAATATTTCAGCAATATCACGGTGGCGGACACCAGAAATGGTCTTCTCTAGGTTACCCACTGCCCTTTACCTGTAGCACCACAGCACATGATTTCCTTTCAAATGTTGTCATCTATTAACGAATATATACACAGTGATACGTTATTCTCTAATACAATCTTGGCACATACAACAGCCACGTTGCTTTGTCACATTATAGGCAACCTGAACACATATTGTCCTGTATCACCACGGGTAATCTTAGGACCTTTCAACACACACACCAGCCACATATTGTTCTCCAACACTACAGGTAATCTTGAGACCTTCCAACACATGCAGCAGCCAAATATTGTTCTCAAACAGGCCGCTGTAGTCCTGGCAGCTACTCCACCAATGGCATGGAACCCTGTTCCCTGTGCCCTATAGGATCATACCAGTCTCGGCCAGGATCCAAACAGTGTGATGCGTGTCCCGTGGGAAGGGTGACAAAGAACAAGGGGGAAAAGGACCTGGAGACTGTACGTTCACGTTTGTATTTTCATGATATTCTAATTTTGTTCAGTTGTAGTAGATGCAACTGACGAGAGGCCGCATTGAAAATATTTTTCTCATTGGTTGATCTTTGGAAGAACCACAAAAAACACCTGACTCTGTAATATGACCGAAATACTGTTCAAAGAAACTAAATATAACCCAGACACTACATTGTTCACAAGACCTTCGCGAATCTATTCACACAATAAACGCTTTCCACTTTCATACGACATAACAGCTCCAAGTATAGTTGATGTACGATTGAGGCTACTGTCACAAACACACACAGAGTCAGGGCATGTTCGTGTGTTCACCTGAACATAACGAGAAGAGATGGAAGTCAAAATAGGCAGTTGCATTGGACATCAGGTTTGTAGTTGTTTGAAAATCATTTTGTAAGTCTACTGCTGTCGATCTATTTTTGTAACAGGCATATGTCCCCGAGGTTTCTTTGTGATGGACATCTTGCTCAGTAAAACATGCACGGTTTGTCCCAAAGGAAGCTACCAAGACCAGGAAAATAGTCACAAATGCGTGTATTGCGCCTGGGGTCTCTCTACAATTGCAGATGGTTCTGTCTCCAAGACGGACTGCAGAGGTATGGAACATATAAATAGGTACTGGAGGCTTGGAACGAACATGAATTAAATAGGCTTGTTGCAAACAGAGAAATGAATATGTTGGGATGTTGCTAGTTCGAATTACATCATGGAGTTTGTATGTGCATATTTTATTTTAAACTACTCAGAGTGCATTATTATATGCATAGTTAAAATTCAACTATCATGTAAGACTTCTACAATTCAAATACAATTCAAATGTAAAACCCTCAAAGCAGATCTTCGAGAGAGTATATCCTCTCACACTGCTACTGAGATCGCAGGACCCAGGCACCTACAATACTGTGAACAATAGGTTCATATTTCGTGAAAACCGTTTACCATTTCACTGAAATATATTTCTGGGTAAAAGGGATACCAAATATAACCATTGGTTTTTACACTTGTCCGGACTACGAGGGTTCCACTGTATCTACTGGCCCTGCTTTACGTTTCTGGCATTCCCAGTATCCCTTTTGTTCAGAATCTGTCTGTTTTCAGTCAAAACTGACTCCATGCCACTGCTATTACAGCTCCTTGTCTGCCCGGAACTTCTTCATCTGATGGCCTTCAACCGTGTACACCATGTCCGAGGGGCTCATATCAAAGCTCACCCGGAAAAACAAACTGTGACCTTTGCCCTAAAGGTCACACAACCAATGCTACAGGTGCTCTAGTGTCGACTGACTGCACAGTGTCTGGTGTCTGAATACAACATGTGTGTCGTGCTCAATAAGTACAGAATCATATTCTCACAATTTGGTGTTTAACTTGTTGCTGTATTTGTGAATGGTATTAAAATCCCCAGGGAATATTGTATTCTTTGTTGCTTTTCCTGTTCATGTGTATCGAATTCATATTAAAGTATTGGATATATTTTCACGAGATTTTGGATTGAATGATTTCTTATATTGAGCAAAACGTTTAAAAATGTACGTCATAACATTTCTTAGTGATGAAGTTAATATCCGTGTACAAATGAGAGGGCGGTGGGGTAGCCTAGTGGTTAAAGCGTCCGTTCGTCCCTCCGATTCCCCACTTGGGTACAATGTGTGAAGCCCATTTTTGGTGTACCCCGCCGTGATATTGCCTCAACATTTCTAAAAGCGCGTAAAACTAAACTAACTCACTCACTCATGGATCTCGCCGCTATGTGTATATCAGTGTTGGTTTAAATGTTGTAGTTTGTTTCACTAGGGTCCTGTATGTAGGTGACACTATGTCTCCAATAACAAGCTAAAACCGAAACATTGTTTCTAATAAAGCACTGTTTCAGTTTCATTATGGCGTCTGAGACAATTTATCTTGTATTTCGATTCCGTTTCAACACAACACTTGAACGGAAACAATGTCTCCAACATGGTTGTGAAACTGAAGCATCCTATTCGGCAAAGCAATGGAACTGAATAGTTTCTCTTACACCATGATGAAACTGAAACAATGTCTCATAAACCATGGTGAAACTGAGTGTGTTGAACTGAAACATTGTCTTCAACACCATGATGAGACTGGAACATTGTCTGACACAATGTGGTGAAAATAAAAACAGTGTATCGGTCTTGGGGAAAAGGAGACATTATCTGTAGCACCGTCGTGAAACTAATTACATCATTGTCTGCATGGTGAGGATGGGGCAGTGGTACTTATTAGTGTTGAAAAATATATTCTGACTCCCTCCTTGGATTCACTAACTCTTATTCGGTATTAAGCCAGAAGCCGATTTGAAAAGTAAAAGTTTAAATTATCCCAACTTCTAAATAGCAAACAGAAACTTATTTATCTCGATTTTTTTTTTGATTTGAATAAGAAAATGTAACTAATCGTAATGTAGCTAACTAATGGCCCTTTTGTACTCTGGTTACTGAGTTCTGAATCTAAACATCATAAACATGGTTGTGAGTAGAAACTACTGTATCTAAACATCATAAACATGGTTGTCAGTAGAGACTTCTGAATCTAAACATCAAAAACATGGTTGTCAGTAGAGACTTCTGAATCTAAACATCATGAACATGGTTGTCAGTAGAGACTTCTGAATCTAAACATAAACATGGTTGTCAGTAGAAACTTCTGAATCTAAACAACATAAACATGGTTGTCAGTAGAGACTTCTGAATCTAAACATCATAAACATGGTTGTCAGTTGAGACTTCTGAATCTAAACATCATAAACATGGTTGTCAGTAGAGACTTCTGAATCTAAACATCATAAACATGGTTGTCAGTAGAGACTTCTGAATCTAAACATCACAAACATGGTTGTCAGTAGAGACTTCTGAATCTAAACATCATAAACATGGTTGTCAGTAGAGACTTCTGAATCTAAACATAAACATGGTTGTCAGTAGAGAGTTCTGAATCTAAACATCAAAAACATGGTTGTCAGTAGAGACTTCTGAATCTAAACATCATAAACATGGTTGTCAGTAGAGACTTCTGAATCTAAAACATCATATATATTTTCCTTTGAGGCTTTTATCTCTTTATCTGCTCGTGGCATTTTTCGTGCATTGCAAATAGTCAATCATCAATGCCTTTTCCCTTGATAGTGATCTTGTTTGTATCTATCCTAAACTGATGTGCTTATTTTGACAATAGTTTTAGGCTTTTAACGTAATGTAATATGTCCGAGCTTTCATCAAACTCCCAGAATTCTCTCTGGGAAGAGTTCTCGTGACATAACTCTCGGATAATGGCAAAACTTCAAGCAAATTCAAATACCCAGTGGTGCTATTCAAATCTATTATTGAAGGGCCCGTTTCGCTAAAGCAGTCTGATGGATCGTAACTGTCTATTCTACAGACATTCAACGAGCTGAGATCGCGTTGTGGACGAAGGCCCTGGTAAACAATATACTTGGGTTATCCGAACTGATTCTAAAGGGATTCCGACAAGAAGAGTTTCATAACCACGTGTTATCGTCTCTCTCCAACATGCATCTGTTGCATCATGTCGGAAAGTCTACTATTACACAGTATTGATAAAACGCCTCTGCTGCTGCCACCATGGTCTACACCGAAGCGATTCCACCCACTGACAAACTCACGCCCATAGCTTCAACGCTCAACGAGACTTTCTTGGGTGAGTTTCATTATGTCTGAAACGAAACATCAGACCTGTTCAAGACCGAAAGCAAAATGTCAGTAAATTCAAACTTTTCCCATTGACATATGTCCACATTTACCGAGTTAAGCTGGCATAAGAGCTAATTATTCCTGTGAAATATCACCGATGTCCAGCAGTCTGAGAGGGAGGTAAGCGTGTAGTAACTGATAGCTGGACTATTTTCCGGATCGTGCAGTAGTGTCTTGTGAGTTCCCTGCTTCTGTTGTCGAGTTCCCGGACATGGATGTGAAGACGGTGCTTCTCTTCCTTGGATGGATGCTAGGTAAGGACAATCTTTCAGAGTGTGTGGAGGTATCGCTTTGAATAGTATTTAAGTCATACCAGGGTTTATTAGCTTGGGGCCAAGACGTTGACCAATTTCTTGAATTCCCTAAGTATAGTATGTTACAGGAACACGAAGCATAATCAGAGAGAATAGAGGCTTCTGAACATCCATAATTGGACCCTGGCACTGTTATAGGAAACAACTGACAAGTCATTGGGTTAAGCGAGATATAAGACGGCTACTTCTTTCACATACTGTTGTTTTGTTGTTTTCCATGTCTATGTTACGGTCAATGTGTAAAATCAGGCAATTTGTAAATTGCGTGAAATTTACGAATTGCCTGATTTTACATATCGCCTGTAACATATACTACCCATCAAAAGTTTAGACTCACTTAAAGCACTCACTATATGTTATGTATATGTATGTGGTTACATCGAAGATGAATTGCTCCACCAACTTGGGGGGAACCAACTGAAAACCTTATGCAGATGAATTGCACAAGGATGATGCTTCAAATTGCGAAAGGCATGAGCAAATGTCGTGCATGTGAACAGATTCGTTTTGGTGTAAAGTTTTGTTAAGAATTCGCCAATTTTCACAGATTTTAATCATTTACTGAACTCATGACAATAATCTTTTCAATGTTACGAATATGTTTTACAATACACCAGTTCATAACTAAACAGTACCTTTAAACAGTATGGAATATTTTGCAAAAAGCTAGTTTAGAACAGTGGACAAGTAAGTGGCTACATTTACACTAGTGAGTCTAAACTTTTGATGGGTAGTATATATTCGTAACATACCGTCTGTTAGGTCACGTATCCTGGTGTTGTTTCCTGTGCTTACCTTGTATCATGCTTTCTTCCCACTCCTGTTAATCTCTGTCAATGCTATGTTGTTTCCCGCCTCATTCTAATCTGATATTCCTCTGTTGTTTCCCATTTTCTGCACATCTCCATTTTCCTGTTGTTTCATGTCTGTTGTGTATCCCTGTGATCTCCCAACACCTGATGTTATGCTGATGTTTTCTTATTTCCCGTTGCCGTTTACCGGCGATGTTTTCTTGTTGTGGAAACTTCTTGTTTTGTCTGATGATGTTCTGTTACTTCCCTCTGGTGTTTATGTCTGATAATGTTCTGCGGTGCCTTCTCCTGTTATTCTTGGACATGTATCTGTTGTTTCCCTTCTGTTGTGTATTGTCCTGGAGATTCCTGTCTCTTGTGTTTCTCTGACATAGTCCTAGAGATTCCCGTATCTTGTGTTTCTCTGACATTGTCCTGAGATTCCCGTATCTTGTGTTTCTCTGACATAGTCCTAGAGATTCCTGTCTCTTGTGTTTCTCTGACATTGTCCTAGAGATTCCCGTCTCTTGTGTTTCTCTGACATTGTCCTAGAGATTCCCGTATCTTGTGTTTCTCTGACATAGTCCTAGAGATTCCCGCATCTTGTGTTTCTCTGACATAGTCCTAGAGATTCCCGTATCTTGTGTTTCTCTGACATTGTCCTGGAGACTCCCGTATCTTGTTTAACACTTTCTAGTTCTTGATATTGCCCTCTTGCGTCCCTGCGCTACTTTACTCTCGATATTGGTCTGTTTTCAGCCTCTGCAGCTTGCAATCCCAAACAACGCCTGGTTGCTGATTTGTTTCGAAATTACGACAAACGTGTTGAACCATTTGGTCCTAACACCACCCTGGATGTGAGGATGAACCTCACCCTTGTCGAGATATCTAATATCGTAAGTATACCTGACCACAGTTAAAACGTTCACGTTGTATAATTAAATAGGTAAAACACAGTAGTGATATACTCAAAACTGCATTCTACAGTAGTGAAAACGCAAAAGTGATTAAGTAACGTTGCATACGTCCATAGTTAAAATGTCACAGCCATACGTTGCGCACTGCAATAGTTAAAGTGAGTGAGTGAGCTTGATTTTACGCCGCTTTTAGCAATATTCCAGCAATATCACGGCGGGGGACACCAGAAATGGGCTTCACACATTTTGCCCATGTGGGGAATCGAACCCGGGTCTTCGGCGTGACGAACGAACGCTTTAACCACTAGGCTACCCCACCGCCCCAATAGTTAAAGAGCCATATGAATAGGTTTACATTATGTATTGATCAGTCCAAGATAAATAGTGATATGTTTACGTTAATATAATATTGAATAATTAAAGAGCAATAGTGATTCGCTGACCTTATGAATTGAATAGTTATAAGAGTATTTAGTGATATGTTTCCGTTATATATCGTATAGGGGCGGTTGGGTAGTTCATTCTTGTTCATAAATTGCACTTAGTCTAAAAACAAATTCTGATATGAATTTATCAACATTACATAGATTTTGCTGTTGTTCTCACATACGTCCAAATCCAAAAAAGTAAAGAATATTCTTACTTTTTTATGCCCAGTTTGTTACACC